TTGCAATAACTTCATTTGTTTCTAAATATATCATTTTTTATTCACTTTAATTAATTAATATCTTGAAGGCAACGGAAAAGAACATTTCCATATTTTTTAAGTTGAAAGTATAAGTTTTAAACTTTCTAAAAAAAATTTGAAAAATAAAAAAAGACCGATTTTGAAAGAAAGGCAAAATTTTTTTTGATTTTTAAAAAATAAGGTTAAATTTTAAATTTAAAAAAAATTTTTCACCAATCAAAAGAGCAAAAAAAAACCTTTGGAAAACATATATGACAAAATTTTTTTTATCTACTTCATAATATTTACAATTTTTATTAATTAATTAATTGTGACCTGGACAGTTAAAAAGGACCTTATGTCCGAAAAATCCATTTTTACTTTTTTTATGTTTCTTATAGAAAAAGATGTGTTCTTTTCAATGCAACAAACCGCGCATCTTCAGCTTCATTAGTCTTTTTACAAATGCGCTTCAAAGATGGACGCAAATGGTTAAAAAAAATCGTAAAAAATTTAAGTAGAAAATAGGTGAATAAAAATTGATCAAATTAGTTTGAAACTCTTTACTCGGGGGTTTATGAGGTCGCTGATTACGAATTTGACATCAGATTTTTAAACAAGTTTTAAGCAAATCCGATCAATTTTTAAATTTTTTTCTGCTATATTGGAACCGTCATTTAATATTTTTGAAATCTAATGGCAAATTTGTAATTAGCGACCTCAATAACCCCCCGAGTAAAGAGTTTCAAGTCATTTCAACGGACAGGAGTATCATTTTCGACTTGTTAACTTTGAAGTCGTTTTTATCGAAAACTTAATTTCGGACGAAAAGTCCCTTTTAACTGCCCGAGTCACAATGATTAATGTTAATAAAAAATATAACATTTTATAAAGAAATAAAGTTATAGTAATTCTGACGTTACTAAATAAAAGTTGACATAATTCCTCATCTAACGAGCCCTATATGAAGTACTTTGGATTAGTGGATTGTTAATACACAATTGGCTAGCATTGCAATTATTTTGTAATGATCTGACTTTTATTTGCCTAAGGATTTGCTCACCGGATGGAGTCCAGGTACATATTTCGACTAGTTTCTTTAATTCTCGATAGATTGCGTGAAGCGCCATCTATGTTTCGATTAATTTTGGAACTACTTATTACTATGATCTAGAGGAGAAGTGTAGTAATTGACGAGCCTTTATTTAAAACCTTCGAAAGAGAATATATTGTTTAAATAAAAGAATAATAAAATATACAAAAATAAATTATTACATAATATAATAAATGAACAATCGACCTAGTCCATCATCTTTCTCGAGAGAGAGAAGCGCCTCCACTCGGCAAGGATGTTTCTAGTACATGTGTGTAACGTGTAACCTGGTTGGCCACTCTTCCATGGACGCACCCATAGGAAGTCCGGCTAACTAGGTGAAAAGAGGGCGAAGGGTGTTACTGTTCCGCAGAAGCACATACAGGAACAAGTACAGCTCCTTTTAGGAAGTGAGGAAGGCTCTGGTGTTCACAGAGAAGCACATCTACTGAGCACCAGGTAGCCAGGCGTGTGTCGCTTCTATTTGACCAGAGAATTACCTCTAAGTGACTCGAAAGACGACTCAGGAAGAAGGTGCGGGACAAAAGGTATATCACTGGCAGGTAGGTGATAGTCAGTGGTGGGGGGAAGAGAGTAACACTACCAGCTACGCGTTCTACTTTCTCTCTATGGGATCTGACATGGGGGCGGGGCCTAAAGCAATATGGCGTAAATTGGGTAACACTTTTAGTGAATTTATATGGGAATAACATGGGATGCAATAGAACAAAATCGTTTAAAAAATATTGCTTAATTTAATAAATGTATAAGTGAATTTTTTTAATACAAAATTACTATTTACATTCCTATTTACAAACATGAATAAAAATATAAAAGAAATCTTATTTTTATACAAATTATTTTCTCAAATCCAGCGATACATGTGCAAGAAAAGTATTGTATTTTCCTTTATATTTCATGTAATTATATGAAAATTTATAAATGTATGTATTTCATTTTTCATTGTAAAAGTCTGTTAACAAGAAGTGAAAAAAAATTTATTTATCCGTTTTTACAGTGATAAATTAACTTTCAAAATGTTCACATGCACGGGTAATATGAAAGATTATATAACCTCCAAATTTTAAAATCTTAAACTTACCTGGCAAAATGTAATCACTTCTTTTGAAATGCAGAGAACATACCCTCATAGAAGGCTTTATACTGTTTATTTTTAAAGCATTTTTCCAGGCCTTTAATTGATCGACTTTTTCAAAATTATCGAACGTATTTTTCACATCCACTACTCGTTGTTTTGGTTTCGGAAATTTATGGAATATTACGCTTAAATTTTTCGCTACAGTACTGCCACAGCCTCTCACAGAACACTTAATTCTGCAGGAAGATTTCTCATGCGGTAAAAATGTAGCTTCATTCATAATGATAAAATAATTAACAATGACAGCGGAACTACAATTGCAAGTGACACAAACAGTTATCCAAAACTAGTTACATTTTTCAACACCAGATGTCATGTATACGAATGTCAGATCCCAATACTACGATACTATTATGCCTCCTGAGTAATTTAAGATAAAAAAGAAAAAAATTGTAAGACACATTTTTAAGAAAATCGAGTTTTTGTATTTTTATACTAAAATCACTGCTAGTCATCAATAACTTTAACTCAAAAGTCTGAGCTTTTCAAATATTTTTGTTTTAATTAGGATATTATTTCTTTAATAGAGTGTAAATTTCCCAACTGGGCCACCTAAAACTGACTTTTCAAATTTTTAAAATCTATTGCAGGAAGCCGAATTAAAAACATTCCTGAAATGCGTTTTTAAAAAAATTAAATTTTTAATTATTTATTAACAATTGAATATTTTGTTACCTTTCCACTAAATTTGCAATTACTCTGTTGCTTATTAATGAGCCAATTGCCCAACAATTGAACAACATTTTTTGCATAATTTTTTGACAGTCTTTTTGAAAAGAACCCCTAAAATCTAAGGGTTAATTTGACTAAAACAACCCCGTTTCACCTAAAATCAATAAAAACTTCGCAATCAGCGACCTCAAAAAACCACTAGATAACAAGTTTCATATGAATCTAACAATTTTTGGACGGAATGGGAAAATTTCAGCAGCAAGGCGTTAAATATATGACGTTTATTTTATTATTAAATTAAATTTTTTTTAACGAAAAAATTATATTTCAAAGGTTTAAATATATAAGAAAATATTAAATAAATCAGATCTAAATTACTGATATAGGTATAGTGAGTTTCCGCGTAGCGTTCAATCCTCTGGAATTTTAATGACAAGTTCTAAACGGTACCCGTGTTGAATGATAGGAGAGTACGAGGGGCATTTGTGATACTCATAGATCTATGAGTATTAACCTTTGTTTGACACACTGGGGTACAAAATACCCCACGTTTTTCCATTCTTACCAATTTTTCTCGAAATACCTCACGTTTTCCAATTTTTTAAAAATACTTACTTTAAATATTCTACTATATAACTTATATAGTTTTCAGAAGATACCTCTCAAGAATATGTAAAAAAAAATTGAAGTAGATATATTTAATATTTTATTTTTCATGATGATTTTTGTCGATGGGGTACAAAAAACCCCAATGTGTCAAGTATGATACTCAGAAAAAGTGTGTCAAGTAAAGGTTAATAAACGTCATATATATAACGCATTGCTGCTGAAATTTTTCCATTCCGTCCAACCTAGGGTCCACAATTCTTATTTAAAACAAAAAAACAAATTTTTTCTTCTATTATACATTATTGCCTTCTGTATGAATTAAAAGATTTCAATAGAATGTGAAAATTGAAAACACAGCCCTACAAAATAAAAAATTGTCGGGGTTCGGGGATCAGTGCACCCTTCCCCATGAGCTACTCAGAGAACTAGTGTGCGGTGAGACTAAAAATTTCATAACTTTTAAAGTTTAAGAGAATCCCACTTTTTTGTTATTGGTATGGAATCACGAAAAGTCCCTCTTCACGATATTATAAAAAAAACTGACAAAATCGATTAAGAATATTGTTTATGTATAAAATTAACACAATTAAAACTATAATTTGTTTAAACAAATTACACTTTTTATTTATATTCTGTACATTTATCAAAAGTACGTTTTCTAATCTTTTAACAGACCAATTTTTAATGAAATCGGTTCAGACAATTTCAAGATATTCAATTTTTTCTAAATCGATGCAAAACACTTCAATTGTTTATAACTTTTACAAAAATTAAAACTTTGAAAAATCGTTTAGGGGTCTTATTAATGACATAACGGACTATCAAAATACATATAGTAGGGGAGACCGGGGCTGAAAGTGTTGATTCTGAGTTTATTATGACCTTTTAAAGGTTTTTATGAACAATCTTAAGATTTCTAGATTTTAGTACCACTTTTAGTAGGTACAAATAAACATTTTCTGACTTATATTCTATAATTACATAGTTAGTCAGTCACTTAAAATATAGTTTTTGTAATAAGTATTTTTATTATAAACATTCAAAGAATTTTTCCAATAATCGTAACATTTATAAATTTTTGTAAATAAATAAACATTTCCGACTTAACTTTTACAATTACATAATTAGGCAGTCTTTTAAAATATTTTTTGTAATAATTATTTGTATTGTTAATCAACTGTAAAAAAACTCTACTTTCTGATTAATAAATAATTTTTAAGACATGAGTACTTAATCTGAATGCGATTTATTGAAATCACAATTGACACACATGTAACTAAAGTTAAACTTAATCTACACAATCCGTCAGGGCCGCAATGTTGCACATAAAAAAATGGAGTACAAAATTAGACTGGTAGGTGACGTATGTCGTTTAGCATTTTCTGATTTTTAAATTAACAAAATTTGGTCCATACTTTTTCTGTGTACAATTTAACCTACGTTTAATATTGTTTATTAAAAACTTACCGTCCATCTAAATGTAAAATGAAGTTGTAAAGTGACTGGATCTGTCAATGTAAAAGTATTTTGACCCAGAACGTGACTAGAAACGTTGCCAAAGCTGCAGGAACCTATAGCAGTGACATTCGACTGATATTCTTTAAGGCACAGCCAGAAGAAAGTTGTACATGATGCCGTGCAAATTTGTGAATACACATCACCCGAATCGATCCTCAGTCCTCCGCCACAACATCTTCCGTCTACTAAGGTTCCTCTGTTATTCGTGAGTGAAAGGATTTGCACTTCAAAAAAACCGCTACCAGTTGTCGCCTAAAAAAATTTTTTATGTCATTTATTTAGTTTCGCTATTCAAAATTCTATAAAATTCAATTCAAAATTACTAATCCCTTTCTGCTTTTTATTACTTTTTACTTGACTTCTGTTTTTTATTGCTTGCAATCTCTTGTAATCTTAAGAATAATACTCATTAACTTAGTATCATATTAAAGAATTTAGATGCTATGTAAAACCTTAAAAGGGTCAACTTTGCGAGACTTTGCGGAAGCTATATCTCGGTCGATCAGGGCTGGATTTGCCGTAGGACAAAAAGAGCAACTGCCCTAGGGCCCCCGATTTTCAAGGGGACTCCTAATTACAACAAGTGTACATATACTTATACGAAGCTGTATAAATGTTCCATAAAAGTGAATCAGTTTTTATATGTAGTTTAAATTGTAATTGGGTTGCAATTAAACAATTTTTGAAAATTGTTCGGCTCTTAACCATTGCAGGCCCAATGGCGGTTTACGCATTTATGTTATTTCACCTTTACCCACACAACACACTAGAAGTACGTTACCCACCCAAGCCTGCCTACACTATTTTTTTTATTGAGTTAAGACATTATATTGATGACCAGAACAAAGTATTTGATTTAATAGTTTGTAATACTCATGAAATAAATATATTTATTTATTAACGTTTTGAAATATATATTGTGTTAAAGACGTTTATTCAGGGAAATAGAAAAAAATAATTAATTGACATTTATATAATTAAAATAATATTATTATTTGTACTATCTGAAAGATGAAATATTAATTTTCAAAAAAAGTTTTAAACTTGCAAAATTTATTTGTTTATACAATTTGCATAGGATAATTTTTTTTTGGTTATATTGCTTCTACAGAATTTTTCAAAAATAATTCGAATTCAATGAAATATAGCTTATTTTCTTCAAAAAATGATTCTCTACAACTTCACCGTAGGGATTTCGAACAAGCAAGCTGTTTGAAAAACACATCTATTTGTTTAAAAGAAAAATTTGTATTTTTTTAAACAAATAGCTGTATTTTCCGAACGGCTTGCTTGTTTGAAAATCCTCACAGTAAAGTTGTAGAAAATCATTTTCGGAAGAAAATAATCCATATTACATTAAAATCAAATCATTTTTAAAAAATTCTGTAGAAGCGATATAAAAAAAATTTATTTGTTGAAAATTGTATAAACAAATAAATTTTGCAGGTTTAAAATTTTTTTTTTCTTGAAAACTGATATCTCATCTTTCAGAAAGTACAATTAATAATGCTATTTTAATTATTTAAATGTTAATTAATTATTTTTTTCTAGAGTTCTGCATTTCCGTGGATAAACGTCCTTCAATTGTATTGATTTTGTTCCCGGATAAGAGGGCCCCTGGTACCCTAAATCTAGCCCTGCGGTCAAGTGTTGAGCTACAGAGTTGGTTTTTTCTAAATTGTTCAGAACTTTATACACTTTCTTTTTGAAAATGAACTATTTTTGCACTAAATGTAATGGGAAGCAGAAATTTGCAAAAAACTGTTTTTGCACCTATTTACAATAAAAATTTAAGTTCCCGTAGGAGTTTTAAGTACCAAATTTAAGTACTTCATTTTTACTCCGAAATGAAGGGTGTAAGCAAAAAACTTGAGGTTCTGAGTTAAAACATTTAAAAATGCTAACTTCCCTAGTGGAAAAATACTCGATTAATTATACGTGTAGATTTGCCCACATGTAATTACAAGTGTAATTCATACTTTGAATTTAAAAGTCATTTTTCCAAAAAACTCCACGTGTAATTATACGTGATACACGGAGAGAAAAACCATGCGTTTTTAGTATGAAGAGGCATACGTTTAATGTATGAAACTTTCTCATGCGAATACTGTATGACATTCATAGTTTCGCAGTAAGAAGTCCATACGCCAAACGTATGTAATACAAACATACTACGATTGTATGAGCTTCATACTCTCTCGGTATGATACTCATAGAACAGACTATTAAGCCACGCCCACTTTCAGTTTGCATATTTCTGAATCACCTGCCCGCTTTCAATTCTTTGCTCAGTTTTGATTTATTTAAATAATTTTTTATTATATTTCAAAGATGAAGTTAAGATGAATATGTTATGTATTGTTATTAATATTTATGAAATTATAAAAAATTATTAATAAATGTAAAATGTAAATGTAGCAGGAAACACTTCTTTATTTTTTTAATTTGTCACTTCACCAAATAATATATTTTCACAAATTTATAATAATAATTATTATTATTATAACAATAATTTATAATAATTATTATTATTATTATAACAATAATTTATAATAATAAATTAAGCGGGGATCAGGAACAAATTCACAAGATACTCTCTCGATAGGAAATGAGCAAGCTGAAAGAAGGCGTGGCTTAATCGTCAGTTGTATAACTATCATACCGAGAGAGTATGAAACTCATACAACTGGACTATGTACGGCATACAGTTAAACTATGCAATACTCTCATACTAGAAACGCATGAATTCTTACATTAAGCGTAGGAACGGTTCATACTATCCTAGTATGAACCACTTTCATACTAAAAACGCATGCTTTTTCTCTCCGTGTACTTTAAAACTTTTTCGAAATTTCAAGAATTGTTACATGTGGAACTAGACACGGTGGGCCTAAAGCAACTTTAGGTTGCATGAAAATGACAAAAAAAGTGGAAACGCCACTGTTTTCAGTGTTGATCATACACCAAGAAAATGTTTCGACCGAAATCCTAGCTGATACTTTTTGGAAAATATCAACATTTTTCATTTTTAAATAGTGTAATATGCATTTCTTTAGTATGAGCAAGGTGCATTTGTTTATATATGTCGTAGTCAATTAGAAGAATTCGCCATTTAGCTAAATGCCTAGGCGTTTAGCTAAATGGCACAAAATAGACTAATGGACTTGGAAAATGATTAAATTCGTCTACTTGCCTGCATAGATTAGTCATTTAGCTAAGTGACTAGTCATTTGGCTATTTGCCTGAAGCTGTGTCGGCAAATAGAAGAAAATGGTTAACACATAGAAATTGAATTATATATTATAGTTTACATAGAATACGGAGAAAATTTTTTTCGGGTTTTCTGAAAGAAAAATTTTTAAATGTTAATTATTATTTATTCGTTAAGTTAAATTAAATTTTACTTATTTATTGGAACATGGTTGGCTCTGATGGCAACGAGAGTTACGTAGAGTAGCCGATTTGAAACAAATGCATTGTTTGGTTTTACATTGCGATTGTAACGTAATTTAAGGAAATAAATTTATTTTGTTTTGATCATTTGTTTACAATTTCTACAAATTAAATTCCAGCTCCTGTTTATAATTTCTATGTGTTAACCATTTTCTTCTATTTGCCGACACAGCTTCAGGCAAATAGCCAAATGACTAGTCACTTAGCTAAATGACTAATCTATGCAGGCAAGTAGACGAATTTAATCATTTTCCAAGTCCATTAGTCTATTTTGTGTCATTTAGCTAAACGCCTAGGCATTTAGCTAAATGGCGAATTATTCTAATTGCCTACGACATATATGTGATATATATATTAAATGTTTTACATTAATCATCTGAATTTTAGATAAGTTGATATCATATTCGTACCATTCACGAAATAGTAATCACGGGTAAAGCACTCACAACATTTGTAATGTTCCGTTGTTCTGGTTTCTTTTATCAAATTAATATCAGCGTAGTTAGGTAATATTGGAAGAGGTCTTTTAGAGCCACCCTTTTCATTTTTATTTATAGTAAGCCGACAAGAAACGCAAACACTTATGTGAAATTTAGAATTAGATATATCAAATTGATCGCTGATGTGTTTTTTTATCAGGTCACTAAACTTTTGGATTATTAAAAAACAATTAGATTTTTTAGTGCCAAATTTAATTTTTGTGCCGCATGGTGCACATACTTTAGCTCTATTTTCCTCGTGAATGCATTTACGATCAAGCTGAGAATTTAAACATTTTTTTATTGTAAAATCCATTTTGTAATGTAAATATAAATTTTCTCTTGCTATCCAAAGAAAAATAGATTAATCGTACATCCAAATTTTATTGGATAAGTGGAAATTTGTAGCACTCCCACCCCCCTCTATGTGTGTATATATATATATATATATATATATATAATGTTACGGTATATGTCGATAGCATTTATGAAAAGAGTAAATATTGGGATCGGCTAAACTGCAATACGCCATCTGGTGGGAACCCATTCTCTCCCTCCATTTTTCTTTCTTTGTCTCTCTTCAATTAATAGGTTAGAAAGAGTAAAAAAACAAAATGGAGGGAGAGAATGGGTCAAAGTTACTAGATTGTTACTAGACCACCGTTCCCAATTCTTTCTCAAAGTTTGCCGTCAAGTTCATCAAGCATTGATAGTTATGTGTCCATTGTATGAAGTGAAGTACAAAACAAAAATGTTGATGTTACTGTTTAAGAAAGACAGTCATATGATTTAAAAACAGCTGATTATCAACGCAATTATCAAAAAGGAAGCGAAATTATTTTCAGATTGTAAATCTGTGTAATTATGATTCAGATACGGGTCAGTCCAGCGAAAATCATCTAGAGGCGGTTGCTCGATGACTTTAGAAATGTCTGAAATTGATAGATAATATTCTTTTATGTAATTCAATGATCATTTGAGGTTTTATATTGATAAAGACGTCTTAGTTTTCTTTAAAATAGTTTTTAAAAAGATTTGAAAAGCTGCAGAGTTATGAATCATCCATTTTACAACGATGCTGTAAAAGTCGTTGTAAAATGAAAAACATATCTAATATGTATTTTTTATAATACATATTTATATAAGATACCTAAATAAATGCCTAGTACTTGAAAATTACTCACCTAAATACTTAAATCTTGATTTTTTCGAGTTTGCACAGTGCTATATTCATCGTTTTCGTTTACGCATATCTTCTATGGAGAAAAATAAAAACTTTTAAAACCTTTTGAATTTAGTGTATATTAACACTAGGAACAC